CCCCAAAACCCCAAAACCCCAAAACCCCAAAACCCCAAAACCCCAAAACCCCGATGCAATAAATTGCTGCTGAATGATTAAATCAACTTTGACAAAATGGCGGATTACTCTGAAATTAAATTGAACGAGCTAGAGCATAGCAATCATCTTGAAATAATTGCAGAAAGTAAATCTGAACAGAAGAGAGAAGTGCCAGCCCAAGTGTGGATGACTTTATCTATCGCTACTGGAGTTCTTCTAGCATGAGCAAATATCTGTATCCTGTATAATGCCAAGTATAAAATCAAAGCTGTTGGGATGACTGCTTTTGGAGCAACTGTAGGTAATTTCATTCCTTTGGTAGTTATAATGTTTCGCGAAAGATCTAACCAAAAGAACGACTCTTGATCTTCTGCAAGAACACCATGGTTTAAATGGTTCTACGATATTTACTATCTCCGTTCCAAAGACAATGAAGGAAGAGTAATCCCAAACAAGTGGGAGTCTTCTCTCCATTACAGAAGAATAGTTGGAACTGTTTTGATAATTCTAGCTCATCTAATCAACCATGTGACATTTATCTTAGCTTATCACTATGCAGAAGTGGGAAACCTCAACAGCGGAGTTTTATCTTCTCTCACAGTAACAAGAGTATTCTTTACTTCTATTCTTTTTTATATCCTATTCAGACAAACCGTCAAGAACTACGAGCTCCTAGCAGAAATAGTTATGATCGGAGCTGTACTTATCATCCTATTTTCAGGAAAGGATGAGCAGAGTGTGGAAGCAGAGGACTCTTCTGCAAATGACAAATCTGAGTCATTCTATGTGGGATTAAGTTGAGGAATTATTATCTTGTTTTCCTTCTCTCATTCAGTGAGAGCAACTGTGCTGAAGTACTTCTTTGGAGATGCTGAAGAGGTCAATCCTTCAGCACTGTTTAACTTTGCTGTTACTTTTATCGAGGTTTTGTTGATTGGTTATTTGGTGATGCTTTACACACAAGGATTTAGATTTACTTTGTTCGAGCTATTCATCGGGACTCTTGGAGGAATTTTCTATAGTTTTGGAAGCTACCTTGCTGCATATGCAACTGTGAGAGGCAGAGCAGGTGTAGTAAATTGACTGATAGAAATGAAGACTTTGTTCCAAACAGCATTTGACTTGATCTTGTTTGGAAGATATCCAAACATGATGCAGTACGCTGGATTGGCCTTAGGATTTGGATCAGTAGTTTTTATTTTGGTTTGAGCTCATCTGAAAGAAAAATCCAAGAAATAGAATTGAATTTGAAGGGTGATAATACTTTAAATCATTTTCAGAATGTTTTCAATCAGATAATATCCATCAGGGGTTTTGGGGTTTTGGGGTTTTGGGGTTTTGGGG